GAGGCTCCACAAGAAATTGGCTTCATGTAAGCTAATAGAATGCCCTGGATCTAAGACATTGTAATTAGTTATCAATTAATTTGTTCGTTATCTTGTCTCATTTTGGATCTATAGAAATAGTTCTTTCACTGAGTTATCAAAATTTCAAAAAAATTGCAAAAATCGGTTTCTTCAGCTATTTCCATGTCAGTGGAAAAAGTAGTTCTTACCTCATCTTCTACGCTTATGAGGGCTTTGAGCAAAATTTTGTGTTTCAAAATTTGTTACCCAGATTTGTTACTATTGGGTGACGTGTTTTTCTTTAAGAAAAAAATTATTTTCGTGACGTTAGAGACTCTAAGATGTGTCTGAAATGGACCCCTTAAACTCAGAAAAATAGGGTTCTCGAGGTTGCTAAACTTTTGCACATTATTATCATTATTCTTCAATGAAACTTTCTATGTGCAAAGGAGCATCTATTAGCTACCTTGCCACCAAATTTCCAGACTCGAGCATGTTCCTTTCAAAAAAAAGCAAATAGCAGGTGCAATACACATTTACTAATATCAAATTCAGAAGAATTCGCTCCACTGTTTTTCAAATAACTTTTGATATGAATATCGTAGAGGATGTGGGTGTGGGTGTCGTTGACTAGAAAACCCATACCCACACCCATCTACTGGACTTTCTAACGTCACAAAAACGATTTTTTTCTTAAAGAAAATTTGTCACCTAATAACAGCAAATCTGGGAAACAAGTTTTGAAACACAAATTCTTTTTTCCAAGGCTCCGAAAGAGTAGAAGACGAGGTAAGAGGTACTTTTTTCACTAACATGAAAATAGCTGAAGAAACCAATTTTTGAAATTTTTGATAACTCAGCCAAAGAACATTTGACCTTCGAGATAATTTAAATCTGGACTCTTAGAGCCTAACGCTACAAACTGACGAAATTTGAGGGTATGTTAAGTGTGAGTATTTCCCTAAGTTATTCTTTTCATAAAATGATTCTAAAATGGAAAGATAGCAAAAGTGCTTGACTTCAGTCAGAATCATGATGCATTGAGTGATTTCAGGGTCCCCATCCATCGATTTTCGACAGAAACCCACCGAAAAAATGTGGTTCCGCGCCGCCAAATGTTAGTGAATCAGGAAAAATTGAAAAGAAGGATCTTATAATTGGATTCGATGTACCGCTGTGACGCTTGAGGGCCGTTACTAGGGAAAGTTGAAAAAACGGGTCGCTGGATTCGATCATTAGATCCATGCTTCCAATTGTCTTTCATCTTTCTAAGTTTTGTGAATGAAACCGGCCGACGTTTAATTATCTGCGCAGCATCAATTTTTTTCTAATATGATTTTTGCGCATGAAACCACTTTAGGCAGTAGTTAAACAATGGCTAGTGTTTCAAGTAAGCAAAACAATCTGTTACAATTAGGGACAATAATTTCTGATGACAAAACAATTGCGAATGTCGCGAAATACTGGGACTCGCGACCATGCAATATAATGCATTCAAACTCGGAATACGGAACAAAGCAATATTTTGACGAAATAGAGAACCGAAAATATTATGTTGAACCACACATAAAGGAATTCGCTGATTTTCCTAAATGGCGTGGTAAACGTGTTCTGGAAATAGGTTGTGGAATCGGAACAGATGCAATCAACTTTGTTAGAGCTGGAGCGATTTACACGGGACTTGAACTCAGTAAAGTGTCTCTAGATGTTACAAAGAAGCGATTTGCAGTCTATAATTTACAACCCGAAGCATTACTGGAAGGAAATGCTGAAGAACTAGATAAAATATTTCCAATTATGAACGACACATCGAAACAATTTGATTTAATTTATTCATTTGGAGTGCTACATCATACTCCTCAACCTAGGCGAGTCATTGAAAAAATAGTCAAGTTAAATCTTTTGAAGGAAAGAACTGGTGAACTTCGAATTATGGTTTACGCCGCGCGTTCCTGGAAAGCTGCAATGATAGAAGCTGGTCTCGATCAACCAGAGGCACAAAATGGTTGTCCTATCGCCTACACATATACCAACGAATTAGTACAAAAATTGATGGGGGATCTCTTTAATGTAAAATCTATTGAACAAGATCATATTTTTCCGTACGTCGTTGAAAAGTACAAAAACTACGAATATGAAGTTCAGCCTTACTTTAAAGCGATGCCAAGCAATATGTTTAAATCATTGGAAAAAACATTAGGTTGGCATCTGCTAGTGATAGCCCAAAGAAAATAGAAGTAAAGACCTAACCTTGAAAAATTAATCATCTTTTTTAATCATTTTCCAGTCATTCAAAAAACTTCATCTTTCACGCATTTACAGTTGTAACCAATAAAAAACTTATTTGTATTAAGGGAATCGAAGACGATGACTAGTTATGGCCAAAAAAAAAGTTTCGAAGTACCAGTATTTCACTGTTACAACCAGTAACGATGAACGACCGATCTAGTTCGGTCTAGCCAAAATTCCTGACCAGCAGGCAAAAACAACTTTCTCTCTACTGAACGCTCTGGGCTACTTTCGAGTTTTCCCGTGTTCTTTACCAAAAAATTATCATAAAGGTGTTGTTTCTCGTATAACGAGTCAGTCATACTAGTTAACATCACTATTTCTGTGAAGACCTATAAATCAAAACATTTCCAGTAAGTAATTTGCGTCAACACACTTCGAATATATTTTTTAAGTCTCTTGGACGTCAAATTATCTTCCGGAACCAAATCAAATCACTGTTTCTCAGACGTAGCTGGAGTTATTGCCGGATTCGAGTATTTTCAGCCCAGATTTGCTCAGGAACTTGCTCTAACTCTAGAATTCTTCTTCCAAGTAGAATGCGACGTGCTCTATCCATTCGTGTAATAAAATTTTCGACAACTCAAACCAGTGTCCTAGAAAAAGAATTTTCTCAATTTTTGCCCCACTGAATCCTCGCACGGAGACAAGTTTTCCAGCCCGGATTCGCTTAGGAACTTGTTCTAAATCTCTTAGCTTGGCTTTGAAAAGGAGTTCATCAGCTACAATGACTTTTTTCCAACTGTCAAATCGCTTGACGGAAAATGTGGTTTTCCTATTCTTGATTAGTGATAGTTGGTTGCGCGCTGAGTATTTCCGGAGGGAGTTATGCTTAGTGCTCTATTAAATATTTTTGTAAACGTGAGTTTTCTTGCAGCATACGAGAACTGCTGGCGATGTTGTACGGTATTTTTTTGGCTTCGGCACCGAGCCAAT